AAAAATGTCGTCAACATACCTGCAGTATATGGCTGGTTTCAAGTTCATGTCGACTAAGACTTTTTGCTCGATGGTACCCATGTAGAAGTTTGCAAACAGGACACCTAGGGGGGAACCCATGGCGACTCATAAGAACATAAGAACATAAGAACAAAGGTAACTGCAGAAGGCCTATTGGCCCATACGAGGCAGCTCCTATTCTATAACCACCCAATCCCACTACTTGCTTATACATGTGCCCATCCGGGCTCAAGAAGGGTGCCTCTTTAGTACGAGCTTGGAGTAGTTTCCTTAGAATATAACTTCTCCAAGCTCAAATCGGAGATGTGTAAGTTCTATTCAGTTGTGTATGTGTAAACAAAAGTCTTTGAAAATGTAATAAGTTTTACGAAACGCGCTCAAGTGTCGCGTCAGACTAGAAATAAAAATGAATTTTGGAGAATTGATTTTTGAATTACCACCAGCAGTGAAAAGAAATGTACGAAAGATTGAGAAAATTCGTGTTAGAATTATTAATCTTACTTTTTCGGTCATATTTAATAATATATGTCTACAGGAAAGACTGCTACCAATATATATATATATATATATATATATATATATATATATATATATATATATATATATATATATATATATATATATATAATATGTCGTACCTAGTAGCCAGAACTCACTTTTCGGCCTACTATGCAAGGCTCGACTTGCCTAATAGGCCGAGTGATTTTCTTTATCTTCATAAATTGTTTCCAGTTAGTTTATTTGAATTATTATTACTATATTATATTAAGAACATAAATTATTGACTAGTTGAGTTAGATTAGGTTAGGTTAAGATAGGTTAGGTTAGGTAGGGTTGGTTAGGTTCGGTCATATATCTAAGTTAGTTTAACTCAAATTAAAACAAATTAACTCATATGTAATGAAACGGATAGCTTTATCATTTCATAAGCAAAAAATTTGAAAAATATTTAAATTCAAGAAAACTTGGATTATTAGGCAAATCGGGCCTTGCATAGTAGGCCGAGTACTGCGTTCTGGCAACTAGGTACAACATATATATATATATATATATATATATATATATATATATATATATATATATATATATATATATATATATATATATATATATATGTCGTACCTAGTAGCCAGAACTCACTTTTCAGCCTACAATGCAAGGCCCGATTTGCCTAATAAGCCAAGATTTCATGAATTAATATATTTTCTCTAATTTTTTTCTTATGAAATGATAAAGCAACCCATTTCATTATATAAGAGGTCAATTTTTTTTTATTGGAGTTAAAATTAACGTAGATATATGACTGAACCTAACCAACCCTACCTAACCTAACCTAACCTATCTTTATAGGTTAGGTTAGGTTAGGTAGCCGAAAAAGTTAGGTTAGGTTAGGTTAGGTAGGTTAGGTAGCCGAAAAGCAATTAATTCCTGAAAACTTGGCTTATTAGGCAAATCGGGCCTTGCATAGTAGGCTCAGAAGTGAGTTCTGGCTACTAGGTACGACATATATATATATATATATATATATATATATATATATATATATATATATATATATATATATATCAATCTTTGGACAACACCTACCAGTGGGCCTCGAACCCAGAAAGCACAACTACCTTCCAGTAGCTGCCATAACTAGTACGCCTTAACCCACTACACCATCAGACCCTACAAAAGAAGTAGAGACTTCGAGATATATATACACCTCAAATATCTCCACTTCCCGAGGGCACTAGACAAGTGAGAGGTTACTCTGCTTTTTTCATCAAGCCACTGTTAATGTGAGAGAACTCGTGTCCATGCTATAAGCCTATACTTGCATAAACCACAAGTGAAGATTAACAATCTTTGGACAACACCCACCAGTGGGCCTCGAACCCAGAAAGCACAACTACCTTCCAATAGCTGCCATAACTAGTACGCCTTAACCCACTACACCATCAGACCCTACAAAAGAAGTAGAGACTTCGAGATATATATACACCTCAAATATCTCTGCTTCCCGAGGAGATAACCTCTCACTAGACAAGTGAGAGGTTACTCTGCGTTTTTTATATCTCGAAGTCTCTACTTCTTTTGTAGGGTCTGATGGTGTAGTGGGTTAAGGCGTACTAGTTATGGCAGCTACTGGAAGGTAGTTGTGCTTTCTGGGTTCGAGGCCCACTGGTGGGTGTTGTCCAAAGATTGTTAATCTTCACTTGTGATTTATGCAAGTATAGGCTTATATATATATATATATATATATATATATATATATATATATATATATTTTATTAAATATGACCGAAAAAGTAAGATTAATAATTCTAACACGAATTTTCTCAATCTTTCGTACATTATGCTTCACTGTTGGAGGTAAATCAAAAATCACTTCTCCAAAATTCATTTTTATTTCTAGTCTGACGCGACACGGGCGCGTTTCGTAAAACTTATTACATTTTCAAAGACTTCACAAATACACAACTGATTAGAACTTGCGTTTCCCTGATTTTATATCTACATTTGAGTGAGGTGGGAAGGGTGATGTGGCATTACATTTGAGTGAGGTGGGAAGGATGATGTGGCATTAGAGAATATTAATAGGGTATTAAAAGTATCAACACAAGACAGAACACGAAACAATGGATATTGAATAGAAGTGTTTGTAGAAAGCCTATTGGTCCATATTTCTTGATGCTTCTATATTGGAGCGGAGTCTTGAGGTGGGTAGAATATAGTTGTGCAATAATTGGCTGTTGATTGCTGGTGTTGACTTCTTGATGTGTAGTGCCTCGCAAACGTCAAGCCGCCTGCTATCGCTGTATCTATCGATGATTTCTGTGTTGTTTACTAGGATTTCTCTGGCGATGGTTTGGTTATGGGAAGAGATTATATGTTCCTTAATGGAGCCCTAGGGCTCCATTAAGGAACATATAATCTCTTCCCATAACCAAACCATCGCCAGAGAAATCCTAGTAAACAACACAGAAATCATCGATAGATACAGCGATAGCAGGCGGCTTGACGTTTGCGAGGCACTACACATCAAGAAGTCAACACCAGCAATCAACAGCCAATTATTGCACAACTATATTCTACCCACCTCAAGACTCCGCTCCAATATAGAAGCATCAAGAAATATGGACCAATAGGCTTTCTACAAACACTTCTATTCAATATCCATTGTTTCGTGTTCTGTCTTGTGTTGATACTTTTAATACCCTATTAATATTCTCTAATGCCACATCATCCTTCCCACCTCACTCAAATGTAATGCCACATCACCCTTCCCACCTCACTCAAATGTAGATATAAAATCAGGGAAACGCAAGTTCTAATCAGTTGTGTATTTGTGAAGTCTTTGAAAATGTAATAAGTTTTACGAAACGCGCCCGTGTCGCGTCAGACTAGAAATAAAAATGAATTTTGGAGAAGTGATTTTTGATTTACCTCCAACAGTGAAGCATAATGTACGAAAGATTGAGAAAATTCGTGTTAGAATTATTAATCTTACTTTTTCTGTCATATTTAATAAAATATGTCTACAGGAAAGACTGCTAACAAAATATACTAATATATATATATATATATATATATATATATATATATATATATATATACTAGTCAATAATTTATGTTTTTAATATAATATAGTAATAATAATTCTAATAAACTAACTGGAAACCATTTATGAAAATAAAGAAAATCACTCGGCCTATTAGGCAAGTCGGGCTTTGCATAGTAGGCCGAGAAGTGAGTTCTGGCTACTTGGTACGACATATTATATATATATATATATATATATATATATATATATATATATATATATATATAAATATATATATATATATATATATAAACCAACTTTTAGACACACACACCCACCAGGGACTCGAACCCTCGCCAGCACAGTTGCTTCAACAACAACTGGCATGGCAGGTACCCACTACACCACACTCAGAGCCTTAAAAGGGACGGAAATTTCGGGGTATTTCAAGCCCCAAACCTCCGTCCCCCAAGACCACTAGAGTAGGTGAGAGGTCACTGACGTTTTCCAGCAAGAACCTGTTAATATGGGAGAACACGGTGTCCATGCTTTATACCTAACTTGCCAGAACACGCAAGTTTGAAATTAAACCAACTTTTAGACACACACACTCACCAGGGACTCGTATCGAGTCCCTGGTTTGTGTGTGTGTGGACATTAACAGGACACTGTGTTCTCCCATATTAACAGGTCAGCCGGTTCCTCCAGGCGGTTCTGGACCTAATCTGTTGTCAGTGTTCCCTTTGCTCACTACATGTCCCTCGAGCATTCTGAGTAAATCTGATCAAGATCCTCTTACCTACATGTCGAAGGTAATTGCATTTTGATTTCCCCCTTATGGCTGAACACATTTATTAACCTCTTGTCTAATGCCACGCATATTTCCTGGTCATTTGACACTAAATACACTACTCTCCAATTCTCTTTATTTGCTTTATCATTTATATTCATTTTCCTTTTGATGTAACTGATATTCTACGATTCAGTTAACGAGATGTTTCTCTGCCTCTGTGAGGGGCGAGCCTAGTTCATTCGACAATGTTATTCTTGGTTAATGTATGAATTATTTGCTATGTGGAAGAATTTAGGGATTTATTTTAAAGGTGAGAGAAGGTAGCCACAATGCAGCCTCCTCTCCTCCTGGCCCCCAAAACAAAAAAATCAAACATTTTAATTTTGTAGAAAGAGACAGAGGAACAACGCAGAGACACACAGACAGAGACAGAGATAAAGACAGAGACAGAAATAAAGAGCAGATACGTGATAAGTAAATGGAGAGCTGCATGGATACATAAATAAGGGATAGATGGAGAAATAGATGGGTACATGGATAAGTGGATAGATTAATGCATAGATAAATAGGAAGATAGAGATATAAATACATAAATACATCTGGGAGAGAGACCCGAGCAACGCCGGATACCCCCGCAATAACTCACAAACGAATGGATTATGGATTACTGTCAAATGGATTACTGTCAGATGGATTACTGTCAGATGGGTTACTGTCAGATGGGTTACTGGCAGATGGATTACTGTCAGATGGGTTACTGTCAGATGGATTACTGTCAGATGGGTTACTGTCAGATGGATTACTGTCAGATGGATTACTGGCAGATGGATTACTGTCGGATGGGTTACTGTCAGATGGATTACTGGCAGATGGATTACTGGCAGATGGATTACTGTCGGATGGGTTACTGTCAGATGGATTACTGTCAGATGGATTACTGGCAGATGGATTACTGTCAGATGGGTTACTGTCAGATGGGTTACTGTCAGATGGGTTACTGTCAGATGGACTACTGTCAGATGGGTTACTGTCAGATGGATTACTGTCAGATGGGTTACTGTCAGATGGATTACTGTCAGATGGGTTACTGTCAGATGGAATACTGACAGGTGTATTACTGACAGCCATTTTGAGTCCAATAGAAGTCAGATCTATGGTCCCAGAATCTGTTCATGTGAAAATATCTATATCTATAACATCATTGTGGATATCTGTAACATCATTGTGGCTATATTTAACATCATTGTGGATATCAATAACATCACTGTAGATATCTATAACATCATTGTAGCTATCTATAACATCCTTTTGGATATCTATAACATCATTGTGGATATCTACCGGAACCCGTACAGGGAGCCGGTCGGCCGAGCGAGGGAGCCGGTCGGCTGAGCGGACAGCACGCTGAACTTATGATCCTGGGGTCCTGGGTTCGATCCCAGGCGCCGCCGAGAAACAATGGGCAGAGTTTCTTTCACCCTATGCCCCTGTTACCTAGCAGTAAAATAGGTATCTGGGTGTTAGTCAGCTGTCACGGGTTGCTTCCTGGGGGTGGAGGCCTGGTCGAGGACCGGGCCGCGGGACACTAAAGCCCCGAAATCATCTCAAGATAACCTCAAGATAACCAATAACATTATGGTGAATATCTATACCAACATTGTGGATATCTATAACATAATTGTGGATATCTATAACATAATTGTGGATATCTATAACATCATACACTGTGGAGAAATGCCAGACAGACCACTGGAACATTATCTAACACAGTGCACAGTTATAAACTCATTAAGATTTCAACTTAGATTCAACAGAGCAGAAGTTGTTAAACACATATGGCAAAATCTTACTGAAGCGACCATACGAGTAATAAATACTCATACTCCGCCCAAGTAAAACAGAAACAAGCAACACTTAGTGGGCCGGCCAGAGGCTTAGGGCCCGCGCAGGAAGATCCCTGAAAAAAAAAAAAAATATATATATATATCATCATTTTCGATATCTATAACATCATTGTGGATATCATTAACATCATTATTTATCCCATCAACAGTCATGAGGGATGTGGTTTAGTGGGTAAGGATAATCAGCGCCACCAAGCATGACAGACAGGTAATCAGCTCAACAACAGCTTAATTGGAGCCAAACTGGCGTGACAGACTGTAATTAAAAATATGGCTGTGGGTTAATAAGGAATATTTCCTAATTAGTTAGTAAATAACTAAACGTAGAACTCATTAGTTGTCTTCCAAAGCACTGATTGTTGATATGTGAGTTTTCATATACAAAAATATATTAGTAAAATAGGTTTGAAATTATGTAAGAAATTTGCTTCCCTGAAAATGGGTGTTTTAATATTGATTAACACTTGTCAGATTCCACCACACCACAGAGGTTAACACAGAGGTCTGAGGCTCCACAACACCACAGAGGTTAACACAGAGGTCTGAGGCTCCACAACACCACAGAGGTTAACACAGAGGTCTGAGGCTCCACAACACCACAGAGGTTAACACAGAGGTCTGAGGCTCCACAACACCACAGAGGTTAACACAGAGGTCTGAGGCTCCACAACACCACAGAGGTTAACACAGAGGTCTGAGGCTCCACAACACCACAGAGGTTAACACAGAGGTCTGAGGCTCCACAACACCACAGTGGTTAACACAGAGGTCTGAGGCTCCACAACACCACAGAGGTTAACACAGAGGTCTGAGGCTCCACAACACCACAGAGGTTAACACAGAGGTCTGAGGCTCCACAACACCACAGAGGTTAACACAGAGGTATGAGGCTCCACAACACCACAGAGGTTAACACAGAGGTCTGAGGCTCCAAAACACCACAGAGGTTATCACAGAGGTCTGAGGCTCCACAACACCACAGGGGTTAACACAGAGGTCTGAGGCTCCACAACACCACAGAGGTTAACACAGAGGTCTGAGGCTCCACAACACCACAGTGGTTAACACAGAGGTCTGAGGCTCCACAACACCACAGAAGTTAACACAGAAGTCTGAGGCTCCACAACACCACAGTGGTTAACACAGAAGTCTGAGGCTCCACAACACCACAGAGGTTAACACAGAGGTCTGAGGCTCCACAACACCACAGAGGTCTGAGGCTCCACAACACCACAGAGGTTAACACAGAGGTCTGAGGCTCCACAACACCACAGAGGTTAACACAGAGGTCTGAGGCTCCACAACACCACAGAGGTTAACACAGAGGTCTGAGGCTCCACAACACCACAGAGGTTAACACAGAGGTCTGAGGCTCCACAACACCACAGAGGTCTGAGGCTCCACAACACCACAGAGGTCTGAGGCTCCACAACACCACAGAGGTTAACACAGAGGTCTGAGGCTCCACAACACCACAGAGGTTAACACAGTGGTCTGAGGCTCCACAACACCACAGAGGTTAACACAGAGGTCTGAGGCTCCACAACACCACAGAGGTTAACACAGAGGTCTGAGGCTCCACAACACCACAGAGGTCTGAGGCTCCACAACACCACAGAGGTCTGAGGCTCCACAACACCACAGAGGTCTGAGGCTCCACAACACCACAGAGGTTAACACAGAGGTCTGAGGCTCCACAACACCACAGAGGTTAACACAGTGGTCTGAGGCTCCACAACACCACAGAGGTTAACACAGAGGTCTGAGGCTCCACAACACCACAGAGGTTAACACAGAGGTCTGAGGCTCCACAACACCACAGTGGTTAACACAGAGGTCTGAGGCTCCACAACACCACAGGGGTTAACACAGAGGTCTGAGGCTCCACAACACCACAGAGGTTAACACAGAGGTCTGAGGCTCCACAACACCATAGTGGTTAACACAGAGGTCTGAGGCTCCACAACACCACAGAGGATAACACAGAGGTCTGAGGCTTCACAACACCACAGAGGTCTGAGGCTCCACAACACCACAGAGGTTAACACAGAGGTCTGAGGCTTCACAACACCACAGAGGTTAACACAGAGGTCTGAGGCTCCACAACACCACAGAGGTTAACACAGAGGTCTGAGGCTCCACAACACCACAGTGGTTAACACAGAGGTCTGAGGCTCCACAACACCACAGAGGATAACACAGAGGTCTGAGGCTCCACAACACCACAGTGGTTAACACAGAGGTCTGAGGCTCCACAACACCACAGAGGTTAACACAGAGGTCTGAGGCTCCACAACACCACAGTGGTTAACACAGAGGTCTGAGGCTCCACAACACCACAGAGGTTAACACAGAGGTCTGAGGCTCCACATCAGGCTTAACCTAATCCATCTTAATTTACTAACTTAACCTATCGCAACCTAACAGGCCACAGGTTGAATCGTAACCTAACGTTCCTTTCTCTTACATAATATAATCTAACTGTTAACTTAACAATCCCTTACCTATCATACTATAAATTAACCTCCCCAAACTAAACAACCTCTAAATGTTCTTATCATAACCAAATGTACCACAACTTACCCAACCCTAACCTAGCATTCCATTTCCTAACCAAGCATATCCAAACTAAACTTTTCCAAAATCTAACATATACCATATCTTAACCTACACTAATCTATCATATCCTACCGTGACCGTCCCATACTTCCTACTCTGCGTCAGTCACCATAAAAAAAATATATATTTTAACACTGTCTTCGCGATTGGCGCAAAATTAATAATTCTTGAGCGCACACGCCTTGATACAAAAACCATCACTGGAAAATCTTTTTGGGTCCTCAACGATCATAAAATAATCGTTGGTTACAACAATTTTTCTTGAAATTGGAAATTGAGGAGACTACTGAATGCACAGGAATCCTTCCTTCCTTCCTTCCACAGCACAGGGGTCTCAAGGAAGTCTTATGTGTCTCACCCATCATCTTAATAGACATGTTTGCGCTCATCCTGTGACAGCTTTACGTAATTGTCTCCGAGATATTCAGAAAAGGCTAAATTATCCAATATACATCAAAACCACTAGAACATCGTAAAAATGCCGTTGCAATGCCTTTCAGGAGTAATGTGTATAAACACACACACACACACACAAACACACACACACACACACACACACACACACACAAACACACACACACTCACACACCAAGTGGGAGGCGACGACGGAGCACCATCGTCATCCATACATCGTCATTACTCATCTAGTTGTGTGAGCGGAAAGGAAGACTGGTATGTACCCCTCTCTGGTCAATTATTCAGGTGTACAGTGTGAAGTAAAATATTATAAAATTCTTGTTCAAGATAGCATATATATTTAAGATCTCAAAGAGGCTCATTTTGGTTAGAGGTTAACGCTTACGAGGAACTCGTGACACACGCACGCACACATGCGCACGCACGCACGCACGCCCACGTACATATACATACACACACGCACGCACACGCAAAAACAAACACACACATGCACACAAACGTTCAGTCAGGGAAGAAAGGATTAACACCTTTTGTGGAAAGAGGTAAGACCCCACTATACTCCATCCCCCTCTCTTACCCCCCCATCTGACCTGGTCGCCATCACCGCCCCCCACCCCCCAGTCCCCGCATCCCCCTTACACATACTCTCCCACTCTCTCTTTCTCTCTCTCTCTCTCTCTCTCTCTCTCTCTCTCTCTCTCTCTCTCTCTCTCTCTCTCTCTCTCCTCCCCCCCCCCATGCCGCTCTGCCCTTCTGACAAATATTATCATGACACAACTAGGAACAGGGTCAAGCATGACAGCCAGAGGCAACAGGGGAACAGGGAAAAGTCCAGGTGACGAAATGAAGGAAATGTTTGCCCAGTTTCTGGAGGACATCAAGAGCGAGATGCAGAAAATGAAGAATGAAATAAGCAACCTAAAAAGAGAGCTGACAGCAAAGGAGGAGATTAGAGCCCTCAAAGAGAACAGTATCGATGCTGAGACTCAGATAACCACCCAGGGAGAAGGTGGTAATAGTATTTTGGAAAAGAATACCACAATAAAAGCAACATTTGCAGAAATGCTAAAAAACGACAACTCTGAAGTAATGTCTGCAGTGATGGAGGTAGCCATGAAAGCAGCCACCTCACAGGAAGCGGCACGCTCCACTGGCCAGCTGCTGGAAAGGAAAAGATCAGTGGTAGCT